CACTAGAAATGTCAAAGATTGATAAACAATTAAACATGGTGGTGGTCAAGGTAAAGTTAAATAGTCATTTAAATAGGCTGGTGAATCTTGGTGTTAAGGTTAGAAATCCCTTAAACCAAAAAATGATATTTTAGGCATAAGCATTTACTTATTATTATTATTTTTTTTAAGTTGTGTATTAAGAATTTTTGACAGATTATACCACATGTAGTATCTTTGGCTAAAACAACGGATAAGAAGATACTTGGTAGCCATTTAGGTATAAAAAGTTGATATTTTGTTAGAGTTTTTTATTGTTATTATTATTTATTTTGTCATGTTAATTGCTAAATAATTATATATTTTATCAAAACTTAGACGGCCTCAGAGATTTTTACCTTTTGTAATTGGTAATCACATTCCCTTGACACCATATTGATAGATATGAAACCCGAGAATTACAAATACATTTCCTATATTATATTCCCTTGATAACATAATGTTTTTTTTTCCTTTTGTAATTGGTACCTTGAAATTTGTTTTCTTAGTACTAAATAACTCAGGACCTAAACAAACAAAAAGTATTTATCTTTTTGAGTAGTAATGAATTAATAGTAGTGTCGTTTGCTCAATATTTATCACTAATTTTAATTTTTATATCTGGTTGGTTGCATGTTAGACATAAATTATATGCATGATGTGGCATAGGTTAACGGGTTTTTTTACAGTCACTGTCCATGTGAAAAATATACGTATTTTGCTGTTTGGAGATATTCATTCTGCAAGTACTTATTTCTCCTTTCATCATATATGTTTAATGTACATGTATTAACATTGGAGGGTTGACTGTCATGTGTTATTAAAGCATTTCTGTTAATTATAGGACCACAGTAAGAAAATATCATGCGTTTTAATTTTAAAAATTGGGAACAAGTGAATGTTCATGCCCAGTTGTGACTTCTTGCATATTCGTGATTTAGCTAAGGTTTTATAAGGCCATTAAGAAATTTAGGAGTTGTGGACAATCGGACACATTAGGAGTAAGTTGAAATATTGTATTGATAGTTGTGAAACTCAAATAGAACACTCAATGATTTAGACAATTAAAAATTTAGACAAAAAAACTTATATCTTATTAATTTAATAAAATTTTATATATCTTTTGATTTTTAATTATCAATATTTTTTTCTTATCCATAGTTTCCACTGCACAGTACATTTTGCGTTAAATCATTTTTAATCTATATTCAAAAAAATAACAATGTAAAAAAATTGATTGTGTATTACAACAATGTATTGTAAAATATACCCAATTATAACATCATACTTGTGTCTCTACAAATGTCTTCTGACGCTCAATGCCATTGGGGCTGTTGTGATGATTGCTTCATAAGTCCCAGTCACTCTCATTGTTAAAGTGTTGGTTGGTGCTATGCATTTAAGAGTTAGTTGCTAAAGTTTGTTGCATCTTTTTAGGTTCTCAAGTTATTTAGCCATGACTTCTTTAAAACTCAAATTAAATCATAATTTTTCTTATTATTATTTTCTTCATTAAGACATTATATAATTGACAAGAAATGACAATGTATTTTTGTTGATTTACTTATTATAGGATCACACTTTTATTTTTTCCTGTTGTAACGTATTTTAAAAAATTACCAAACTATAGCATGCCATCCAATTAGATTTGAATATTGTTGCTTTTTTTTTTATTTATTGCAAACCACTTATTATGTATTAGTTTTGGTATTTTAATTTGTCAATCCGTGTATCACACGGGTTTTAACCTAGTGTATATATATATATATATATATATATATATATATATATATATATATATATATATATATATATATATATATTTCAGGTAATACCTAAACATTCCGTGTATCACATTCCGGTCAACATTTTGTATTCCAGATTATATATTCCAGATACCAGACATATTCTAGGAAAAAAAAACTATTTAGAAATTATTAAACGTGTATTTGTTGGTTAATTGTTCTAAAAAACATCATCTTAGTCGCACATTAAATTATATTTTGGGATATTAAAAAATTACAGTTATGAATAGATTTTCTTTAAAGGCAAATAAATATATACTTCATTTGTCTGGAATTAAACCAAGAGTCTCCTAGTTATGCGGGCTAGTCCAAACTTGTACCATTATGAATAGATGACTTAATAAAACGAACATGTTTTTTAAAGAGGAAAAATATGAGCTTTTGGAATATTTATTTTTGAACTAACTTTATGTCAAAACAAAATTACAAAAATAGTTTCTATGATTGGCAAAATTATATGATTTTGGTTCAAAAAAGTTTGGTGGTGCACAATTGGTCCAATTTTGGATATTTTTAGTGTTTTTGGTCCCTATACACTTACAATGTCTATTATACCCTTTAAATTTTTATATATTTTTTATTTTTTATATTTATATTAATGTTTTTAAATGATTAAAGATATTAAAATTCTCTCCCCCCCCTAAGAACACCCACCATACGCCACCCTCTCAAGAACACCTACCATATATCACCATCATCGTTCACCACCACGATCCGCTTGCTACCATCACTGTTCAACTCCAACAACCGCATGCCATCATCGCCATTTACCACCACCATCATCCTGCCACCATCGTTATTCTCCACCATCCTATTAAGAAAAAACACAATCTTTCTTTCTCTCTCCTCCTGCCACTATCACCATTCGCCACCACCATTCGTTGCCAACCACCTCCATCTCCCCCACCCTAACCTCTCACTCCTTAACTTGAGAACTATTCACCACCGACTACCAAACCACCACTCATCGAATTTTTTTCTAGAAAACACTACCAGATGCATATCCTTCCCAAATCTTGTTGGAAAAATCAACCCAAAAGCTTCGTAGATCTCCGACATCTTCTTATCATTCATGAAGACCTGAATCGTTAGAAAATCTACGGATTTAAAGAAGACGATGAATGTTGAACCACAGATCTATCTTCTATGGCGGCAGTCTTGAACCACAAAATCGTTGTATGTGCTGGATGTGGTTTGATATCGATTTTGTTGTCGAATGGCTGATGTTGCAAAAGGTGGCTTGAAGGGAACATATGAGGTTGATGGTGGCGGCACATCTATCAGAGAAAAAGAGAGTTGAGGGCTAGGGTTCTACTTCCCCACCGTCATTGTCCCATATCAGCTTCTAATTCATTCAAACAAGATAGGAATAAGAGGATAAGAAGTCGATTTCAAGCTGAGATTGGCATTTCCCTCTTAATTCAAGCTGAAATCAAACAACGGTGTAGAAATCGAGCAACTGTAGGAAAGGCGACAATTATCGATGATGGTGATAGTCCTGTTGTTATGGGTAGTCGATGAAGGTGGCTTTAGTATTCTTCAGTTGAAGCTTTCACTTGATTCTTTGATTCCATCAACACATTTTTAACTGGTTCGAGCCTAAATTTGTTAATGGTGTCATGATCTCATAGCGGGCAATCTAGGGTTTAAGGAAACATCAAGTTTTGGGACATCAGATGTGGTGAATTGGAGGAATGGTTGGAAATTTTCATTTGTGGCTAGAAGTAACAAGACGATGGTGTTTTCAGATTGTGCTTTTATGTTTATGTATGTGTTGAGAGTGAGAGAGAGAGAGGGAGAAAGAGAAAGAGAGAGAGAGAGAGAGGGAGAGAGAGAGAGAGAGATAGAGAAAGAGAGAGAGAAAGTGAGTTGGGTGGGCTGTATGTAGAGGGGTCTTTTTTTAAATAAAATAATAATTAAACATAATAAATTAAAAATGAGATATATAAGGGTATATTAGTCATTTCAGGTGGGGTATGGACCAAAACCACACAAAAATACCAACCATAGAGACCAAAACCACACAAATTATCCGAAATTGAACCACTGACGCACCGCCAAACTTTTTTGGACCAAAACACATCATTTTGTCAACCACAATGACCATTTTTGTAATTTTGTCTTATATCAAATTAAACATATTTTTTTTGTAACATTCTAGAATCCAGATTATAAACACGATGGAAAATAAATTATTATGGAATTTCAAGAAAATGTTCGAAATTCCATGAATAAATCTGGAATTTCAAAAAAAGTAATTTATATTTTTATTACAATTCAACAAAAAAAAAGCATAGAAAATTAAAAATAAATACAATCAAAAGACAAATATATATATATATATATATATATATATATATATATATGGAAAAATGAATATGTGGCTGTTATGTACTTAAGCTTAGGTATATAACCTTTTAAACGACGTACTTTTAAACAAAAAAATCCAATTTCATCTTATCTTAGTTTTGTTTTAATAGAATACCATTGAATTAAGTTTAATTATGGAATGAAAAAGATGAATTATATATATTTTTTATTGCAAATAATTATTGAAGTTTATACATAAAATAAAAAATCAATAGTTTTTAACGAATATAACTCAAGCGTTTTGTATTTCAATTTAAAAACTATATCCAATGATTTTGTGAAAAACTTCATTGAGTTATGATATGTTCTTCTTTTATCTTTTATTTTATTAGTTTTCATTTACAATTTACTATGGTTGATTAAATGGTCACGACATTTAATGCTTTATGTTCTTAGACACAATGAAGAAAAAGAACATAAATTTGATCGATTTAGTAAGTTACATGATTAAGGAAAAATAGTAAAAGAGATATTATAATTAGTTTGGATATAAATGGATCAAAACTACATTGTTTGAGGGGTGTATATATAAACTTAGGTACATAATAACCACATATTCCTTAAGCCCATATATATATATATATATATATATATATATATATATATATATATATATATATATATATATATATATATATATATATATATATTATTGAAAACGGATAATATTAAACTTTCAAAATAGTAATAGATAACTTTTTGTAAAAATGTTCGGATACAAGTGATAAAACACATTATATATTTGTATTTTATATTGATTATATTAACATTTTCTTTAAAAAGAATAAAAGATAGAAGGAAAAGTGTGTTGTCTTCCACCAAACTTTATCTTTTCTTTCCCATTATGTAAGGCACATGAAGTTGAAAAAAATTTGGTTACAGCTCAAAAGATTTCAACCAATTCCCGCAAAGAAGTTGATCTTCCCCAAATTTCGTGTTTCCCCCAATTGGAATTGGAATTGGAATTGGGATTGCCAAATTTACACTAATCAAAACCCTACTTTAAACAATCTGTTCTGTCCCCACTCAATCAGTTACCACCCCACCACATGTATATGTATATATGGAACACCCAAACAATTGTCCCATTCAATTCTCCCATCTGTCAAAACCACACACCAATATTCTCTCTTCCCTTCCGCAGATCCCCCATATAAACTGTACATAACAAAAATCTCATTCTTTTGTAGATACATGTATATGCATACACATAGAAAAAGAGCGCGATTCGTGTAGATTCAGTCGCCTGCGGTTCAATCGGATTCCGATTTGATCGCGGTTTGGATTTGATACGTTCAATTTGTCAACGATTACAATGGCGCCACCGCATTGTGTATTGGTCACCGGTGGTGCCGGCTACATTGGCAGTCACACCGTGTTACAGCTGCTGTTAGGTGGTTACAAGACCGTGGTGATTGATAATCTTGACAACTCATCACAAATCGCTATCAATCGAGTCCAAGAACTCGCTGGTGATCATGCCGCTAACCTAGTTTTTCATCAGGTTAATGTTCTTCTTTTTCCCCCTTTTAATTTACTTACATTTTTAACAAATTGTTAGAGCTTTGAGCAATTAAGATCAGTTGGTCAATCGAAGTGTTTATATTCAATGCTTGATTTTCGAAATTGGGGTTTAACTAAACAGTTTTTTTAAGACCCTTTCAATTTCGCCATTGTTTCTGATTTCTTGAAGCGTCTTCTCGGTTCTAAATTCGCTTTCATTTTTATCAGTTTCCAGTTGATCTGGAGCCCTGAATTTGGGTTTCTAGTAGTTGAATTGTTTTTAAGTAGTTTTATTGGATGAATCTTTATCAAGTGATGTGACTTTATGTTTCAATTGAAAATTGATTGATGGAACAGTAATGGAAGTTGGTAGGATTTCCAATTTTATTGGAGGGCTAACTTTTCGATCTTTCCTTTTTCATCATTCTTAATCTTTCAAATTTAGCATGACAAACTGTTTTAGCTTTCAACCACCCCATTTCATACAAAAAAAAAAAAAAAAAAAAATCCAATTTCATATTTTGTTCAAACAATTTTATCGCTAGTGTCTTTTTCTTATTTTCTTCCTCTTCTTTTTTTCTCTTGCAGATGGACATCAGGAACAAGCCTGCATTAGAGAAGCTTTTTGCTTCCACTAAGTAAACTCACAACACCTTTTAAATCTCATCATAAAAACTCTCATGAAACTTCAAATTTTTTAATTAACCAAAGATTTTACACAGATTTGATGCAGTTATACATTTTGCTGGACTAAAAGCTGTAGGAGAAAGTGTTGAAAAGCCATTGATGTATTATGACAACAATGTTGTTGGCACTTTAACCCTATTAGAAGTCATGAATACCCATGGATGCAAAAAGGTATTATTAATCTTTTTAACATTCTATTATTAATATTTTATACAAATCGATAACATGTTTGTTTATAAAATTTTCAGATTGTGTTCTCTTCATCAGCTACTGTTTATGGTTGGCCTAAGGAGGTGCCATGCACAGAAGATTTTCCTTTATCTGCAGCCAACCCGTATGGAAGAACCAAGGTGTAATTTTTTATTTTTTTTTTAATGAAAAATGATTTTGTTTTTTTGATGATTTGAATGTGTTTTATGAACAGCTGATGATTGAGGATATATTTCGTGATATATATGCATCGGATTGTGAGTGGAAAATGATAATGTTGAGGTATTTTAATCCGGTGGGGGCCCACCCAAGTGGTTATATTGGTGAAGATCCTCTTGGGACACCAAATAATCTTATGCCTTTTGTTCAACAAGTTGCTGTTGGAAGAATTCCTGCATTGAAAATATTTGGAACTGATTATTTAACCAAAGATGGAACAGGGGTATGTTTTTTTTTTTTTTTTTTTTTTTTCTTTTAAAATTTTAATTTAGTTTGGAAAATAAATATATATTTTTTTTTAATATGAATTTACAGGTACGTGATTATATTCATGTTGCGGATTTAGCAAATGGGCATATGGCTGCGTTGAGGAAACTCTCTGATCCAAAAATAGGTTTGTGAATTGTGTCGCGTTTTCTATTATTATTTTTTTAAATATATTTTAAGAATCTTGAATGTTTTATTGATGATGTGATTATATATATTTTAGGTTGTGAGGTTTATAATTTGGGAACGGGTAAAGGAACTTCTGTTTTGGAGATGGTTGCAGCGTTTGAAAAGGCTTCAGGAAAGGTATATAGTCATTTTGATTTTTTTTTTTTTCAGATTTTATAAAAAGAAAAAAAAATAGTCCATTTTTATAATGTTTTATTTTTCGTGTTACAGGAAATTCCTCTAATAATAGCTGAACGAAGGCCTGGTGATGCTGAGGTTGTCTATGCTTCCACAGCAAAGGCAGAGCGTGAATTAAACTGGAAGTGAGTTTTATATTATTTTTCAATATTTTCATTTTCGTAAACATTCTTTTATTTTATATTATTCTTTTATCTGTATTAAATCGTTCTTTTTGTGTGTGTGTGTGTGTAATGTAGGGCAGAAAATGGGATAGAGGAGATGTGCAGAGACCAATGGAACTGGGCCAGCAAGAACCCGTATGGGTATCAGAACAAATAATCAAAGGGGTAAAATTGGAAATTTGCAAAGTCAGCGATATAATAGGAGTATAATACAAGTGATGTTTACCTGGTTTCCTTTTTGTCTTCTTGATAGAAGGTGTTACGTAGGCTAACGTCGAAAGTTAAAAACAAATAAACAAGTCAATAGTATTTAGTTATTATTATTATTTTTTTATTTAAAAACTGTATGGGGATCTTTTTACTTTTTACATATAGAGTCGGCTTCTTGTATATGATGAGATCTGGTGTCTGTGTAGCAATGAAGAAGAGACATATTACATATATAACAACATTCTGCATCTATTTATTTCTTTCCATTTTTCCTCTATGTTCTTTTATAAAACATGACATAACAAAAGGAATTATAGTCTATAGAGTATATACAACATAGCAAATTAGACCTTGAAATATTCTTTAAAGTGGTATTTTCCAAGTGGATTTTTGTTTGGATAGAATTATATTTACACGTGGCAATAGAAGAAGATATGAGGGTAGATCAGATACTACTCTCTCATTGGCTATAACAAAATCTTCTTATCCAATAACACCAACTAAAAACATCCATCCCACCTCCGTCACCACCCATCTAAAACTCACCACCGCCGCCACCCAACTTACACCAAATCCCCATTTCTTCGTCTTCTTGATTCTAATCAGCCACCACCACCCATGGCCATGGCTACCCAAGCTTCCCTCTTCGCACCCACAATCCCCAATCAAACCTCCCCATGGAAACAATCACAACTCACCTCCTTCACCACCGTCAAACCAACCAAACCCACCACCCGATTCACCACCATCAAGGCCGCGGCGGCAGGGGAAGTCCCCACCAAAGAAGCTCCGGTCGGATTCACCCCGCCTGAACTCGACCCCAACACCCCATCTCCAATCTTCGCCGGAAGCACCGGCGGCCTGCTCAGAAAAGCTCAGGTGGAGGAGTTCTACGTCATCACATGGGAATCACCAAAAGAACAGATCTTCGAAATGCCCACCGGCGGCGCCGCCATCATGAGGGAAGGACCGAATCTGTTGAAATTAGCGAGAAAAGAACAGTGTTTGGCTCTTGGGACAAGATTGAGGTCAAAATACAAGATTAAATACCAGTTTTACAGGGTGTTTCCGAATGGGGAAGTTCAGTATTTGCACCCCAAAGATGGAGTGTACCCGGAAAAAGTTAACGCCGGCCGGCAGGGGGTGGGTCAGAACATGAGGTCAATCGGAAAGAATGTTAGTCCGATTGAAGTCAAGTTCACCGGAAAACAACCCTACGATATTTGAATATGATCATGGATGGTTTTCTGATGGACTGTGATTATGTAATTTTCAAGTTAATTAATTTAAAGAAACATTTTCACAGTTTCAAAGTACATGTGAATTTTATAACATAACTAATCAACCTAACAAAAGATTTACGAACTAACTCCAGTCTTAAGACTTAAGAGACTTGTGAATTTATATGTGATCAACTTTTGTTATGTTTACTAGTGTTAACTTTTTTTTAACAAGTTAGATATTTTGGCATGATAAGAAAAAAAAATGAACCACAAGTTCCGATTTTCGCTGTTATGACCTTCGATATTATAATTGCTCAAACTTCTTAGCTTTGGAATTCGATTAACACACGAATGAACTAGCAATGTATCAACAAAAGTTTAAGTTTTTTGTTTTCAAAATTTTCAAACTACATGTGCTAAAACAATCTAAGACTAGTCATACAAAGTTACAAACCAAACTCTACTTGAGTTCAAAAGCCTAATCATCAAAACCTTTTATACAATTACATTGATTTATAAAAAGAAAAATATTACAATTGCAGAGAAAATGAGCTTCAAAATGCATCCAACACACAGTTATTACAAAACTAGCAACGAAAACCTAAAACAGATCCACCATTAATGGCGATAACGACTTTACACTCAGCTTTAGCTTCCACATGGTGTGTAAAGAAGTGCAAAACCCTGACCCGACCCGGCATCTCCATTTTAGTTTCTATCTCCAAACTGGGTCCGATCCGTAACCCATTCATCCCCTCCGGCTGACGGTTAATCACCGACAATAACGGAAAAGACTTGACGGAAAATGTGGCAGCCATGTACTGCGTACGACGGGCTTCAATCTTGCCGGAGGGAACAAACATGAACCCCACCTGGTTTCCGGCGTAGAGGAGTTGTAGAGAGCTGTCGTAATGTGTGAAAACGCCACGGTTGGGGTTGTTGACGGCGATGTAGTGGGAGATGGTGAAGGTGACGGTGGTGTTGGTGGTGGAGAAAGATGGAAGTTGGACGGCGGTGACGGCGATAGCGGGGGTTTTGGGCTTGAATAAGGTGAAGAAAATAATGAGGATGATGATTGTTATGAAGATTAAGAAGATGGTGGCTACGATGCATGAAGCTAGATTTGTCCTGCCGGACGGCGGCGGCGATAGATTTTTCCGGCCTCCCATTCGGGTGTTGGGTCAAAGAGGGCTCTGTTTTTCAAAAAAGAGCAATAAAACTTCTACTATTTCTCATGCTTTTACTTTTTCTCATGCAATGAGTTGAAATATCTATCTTTAATATAAAGTTTTTACATATAAATCAAGAAAATTTTAAAATGAGAAATTCACATATATATATATATATATATATATATATATTTATCTTCTTATAAAAAATCATTATTATTGATATGAAATTACTCAAATATCAGCAAAGAATTAACATTTTATTTTAAATTTAAGTTTAATCTGTAAAATTTTATAATTTTTATATATCTAATAAAAAAATTAAATATATTTAATAAATTATAAATCAGAGCTATAATTGTCTGGCACAAGGGAGCACAATAATTATTACTGACTTCCCTTGGGGCAAAATTGTCAAAAGCTGAAAAGAGAAAAGAGAGCAAGTGGGGCCAAACGGAGCTCGAACTGCGCGGAGGAGGAAGGTGGAGGTAGCGGTGGTCATCAGTCACACTCGTGGTGGGGTTGGGGAATCTTCCTTTAACCAGATTTAAGCTTTAAAAACCCTTCGATGTTAAATTTAAAAGGAAAAAAAAAATAAAAACAAACTCAAATTTACAAGTTTTTTAACACATCAATTATCATAAGCAACAAAAGCTTTGTTACATAACTACAAAATACAAATCATTCAACTACGAACCCAAATTCAGCAACAAGATCTAAAAAACACCATTGCTGATCATGATCACACTTTTATTCGTATCGCTCCAAACTTCCATCAATCACCTCAACAGAAATTCAAAGCAAATACTTCATAAAAAATAAAAAAAAACTAAAACCCAACAAATTACTCAAATCCTATACGAGCCCTAAACACACACATTCTCAAGCTCAGAATCCATGATCTTAGAGACAGTTTCAAGAAACACAGCCTCACTCCTTCCCGTGATCATGGAACCATAGGCTTTTCCAACAATCTTTTCAATCATGGATTCTTTGTTTAATGTTTCTCTACACATGATTTTGCCTATGGTGAAGGGGGAGAGCCCTTTTTTTGCACCTTTTTTTAGAAGCATGGTGGAGATGCGAAAGGTACGTGCACACTCGAGTGAAAGGTCCCACCCATATGAGCTTAAAAGTGCTATGTCTTGCTCTGCATCTAGCGAGTTTATGTAGTCAAGTGATTTTTGTGAGTAGGGTTTGCGCGCTTGTGGCCAATAGAGCCAATCAAACGTGCAATCTTCGAACTGTAAAACAAACAACAAATGCAAGTTAGACTGGACAAGACATGACATGACATGACAGAACAGAACAGGTTGTACTGCTCTAATGCTCTAATATAGATTAGGACATGACAGGACAGGACAAAACAGATTGTACTGGATTTGCAGATAAAGAGACTTACATTCTCGGGCAAGCAGTATCCATGATCGATAGGAATCAACACAATCCGATCACCTTCGCGGTTCATCAAAATATTTCCAGCATGCCTATCGGCATTTGCGGTTCTCAAATCAAACACCGTGATCTTATGAACCTCTTCCACTGGAAAATCCCGAGGCCCCAAATCCTCACAACTCCCACAATTCTTAACAAACATCTGCAAAGATCCAATCTTGATATTCTTTTCACCACCATCATACCCTTGTGGATGATTAAACTCTTCATTCAAACACTTTACCATGATTGTTGGGGGCACACCCGAAAAACCCATCTCCATTTTTGTTGACCGAGGTCCGGTCAACGGATGGTCAAGGATGTAGGCTGCAACTTCCCTCAATGCACCTTCGCCTACCTTAGTCCCCCTCTTTAGTCCTTCACCATTTGTTGATGGAGGTAGCCCTTGAGGGTTGTTAACAGCCATTGGTTCTTCATCTATGGGTTTGAAAATAGCAACGTGTTTTTTCCCTGATGGGTGTTGCATAAAATACGCGCCACCTGTCCCCTCGGATGATCTAATCGGTTTTTTCATCTTTTTTAAACCTTCTGATGCTGAATGTAACATGTCCCATATGACAGGTGGAATTTTCATTTCAGGATTGATGATAATAGGCTGCAAAAGTGATTTGTTTTGAATCTTTTTGTTTCCAAGATCTTTTCTAGGTTGAGATTCTTGAGGTTTCTGAACAACCAAATGAACAACAGCATCTTGATTCTTGCAAATGTCATCAATGAGTCTTTGATCATCAAGCTTTTCGCCATTACACAAGATTTCTTGATCATCAATGTTAACAAATGGAAACCCTTTTGCTTGTTCTGATATCTTCTGTTTCAGATGCCTTATGTTTCTAAACCTTTCAACTTGGAATTTGAATTCTTTTCTGAAAGCGGTTTCGACTGTGATTACAAGAAGGTTAGAGACCCTGAGAATTAAATGAAGAACATCACCACTTGAAACACCGTAGTCTGTAAGAAGAGTGTTGTTTCTTGATAATTCTTTTCCTTCGAAAACTAGCTTCTGTTTCTTCACTAGAAACCCTTTACATGTTTGAATCCTGAGTTTAACTGAAGCTATGGAATCGGATTCCAGAATACACATGGGAATCACAGAATCAGCGACAGTTAGGTATATGACAATGGATTTGTTCCGGTTATGAATGAAACCGGATTCTATGTGGATAGGACTCAAAGCAACATCAACAGCTGACATTGTAGCAATCCGATCACACAAAGTGTTAAACTTTTGGCTTCTTCTTCTTCTTCTTCCTCTTCACTATCTTCTTTTGTTACAACAATATTCGTCACATCTCAATCAAATAGAACATGTATTACACTTACAACAACAACAAAAAAACGAACCCTAAAGAATCAAAAGGTTTCAACAAACAAAAGTAATTACTTTGTTCAGAAACAGAAACAAAAGAAAAGAACCAAAACCCTAATGCCCTTTCAACAGAAGGACCCCCAAAAGAGCCTCGTATCAAAGGGCATTTTACTCGATTAACTCCAAAAGACGATTCAGCTGTGAGAATTTAAATAAGATCAACAATATCTCTTGTAATAGAAATCAAGTGGTAAAAAGCGAAGAGATCGGCGACACGAAGGGGGACAATCAAGAAATGGAGCGTGTTTCTAAAAGATGAAACTTTTTTTTTAAAACAATTTTCGTGGATTCTTACCTGGTTGGGAAGAACCAAAGGTCAATTTGAAGAAAGTGATGAGCTTATATCGATGTTGATGATGATGAATTGAGACGTGATCTGTTGATGAAGTGGTTACCAAAAATAGAAATGCATCGGAGGTGAGGTGGTGTGACTTGGTTTTAGGGTTCAAATGATTGTGCGAGAGTTTCGTCGGATTTATGATTCCGGGGAAAATGTCGATCGGTGGTGAAGTGAGAGAGCGAAAGTATAGCCGTTGAGTTTGGTTTTTGTCTTGACCTGAAACATCATCAACAATGATGCTTTGTATTATCAACTATCAACGGCACTTTCGAGCGTCTTGCTTTCAATTTTTGCTTTTATTTTTATTATATAATAGTAATAAAAAAAATAAACATATTATTTATTCATTTTTTAATGAACATACTTTTAGGAGTACAATTTTTATGAAACATAGTACAATTTTTATGAAACATAGTTTTAGAAATATTGTTTCTGAATTTATATTATAAACATATAATAGAAAAGCGACCGATTATTTAATATAAAACTTGGTTTGTGATAAATATTTTTTTATATTTAATTATAAACATAAAAGTTTCAAATTTTAATTTGAAAATATAGTTTCTTAAAATAAAATTTTATTAACACTCTGTTCCTGAGTTTAACTTAGGACGTGTTCGGTACAGAGCATTTGATAGCTTTTAACGTTTGACAGAACGTTCCGTTTTGAACAGAAAGCATTGTTCGTCACTACAAACTACAAGCGTTTAGTTTAAACAAAACGCTTTAAATCCAAATGTTACTTCATATGGCGTTTAACAAAACGTTATAAACTACCTGCTACCGGCTAATTTTGCCGAACACGCCCGTAATGAGGGAAAAGAAAGAAAATGAGTAGAATTGGAAAAAAGTTAAAAAAAAAAAAACTTGGTGTTCTAGAGTTTCATTAAAGGAATGAAGTAAAAGAATATGGAAGGATCGTGTTTCCTTCTAACTTTCCTTCCAATTTGGAAGGATTTAGAGAGAAGTAACAAAATGTTTAATTTTCCTCTCATTTATCTCCAACTCGGGCACACAAAATACAATTTTTTTTCCCCTTTCATTTCTCTTCCTTTCTGTTCTAAAACTCGAGAACTAAGTCTGTAACGTCCCAAAAATTATAAGGTAAAATTTTCATTTTTAATTCAACCAAAACACCAATTATCTTTTAATCATACATTTAAAGTGTAAGATAATAAAACAATCATTAGAGTACAATTCCAAAATCATCATATTGCGGAAACATGGGTAGATGCATTGTGATCAAGCCGGGTCCTTCCCTTTTGAACCAAAAGTACTTGAAACATAATCATAAAATTGTAAGCACAAAACTTAGTGAGTTACTCAAATACCACATATCATACATACCATTGGGCCTAGCCCTCGCATTGGGCTCAGCCCGCATATTGGCCCTAGCCCTGCCAAACCAATAGGCTAGCCCGATCATACAAATGAAAAATTTACAGAGACAGTTAGCACTCCACATAACATAGAATAGGCCTAGCCCTTCCTGATCCATAGGCCTAGCCCAACATACCATGCAAAAGTCACAAAGACAAATAGCATAACTTAACCTAGTGGGGTGACATTGGTGTCTTCAACCCACAGGTATAGTGAGGAAACTTACCTCAATCCGTTGATAATAAAAAAAAAATTGTTCGGGTCGCTGAACCGGATAATCTCGCACTAACTAACAATAAATACAACCTTAATTAATAGTTAACCCTCTAACCCAAAATCCAAAATCCAAGGCCCAAATCGTAATCCAACTTCCTAAAGGGTAAAAGATAAATTTACCCTTCCCATAACTAGTCCAACCTCTCATGGCCCAACCCCCAAAAGGTCCAATGCCCAAAAGGCCTAAATTAAACTCCCCAAGAGTACGCACCGCGTACTCACCCTCAAAGCACAATGCACAAGTTGTTTATGCACAAAACCAACATTACGCTGAGCAAATCTTAAATAATCTGAAATAAGTTCTTAATGGTTAAGACAAACACATCCAAACACTTATCCGACCCTAAATGATGTATTAACACATAAATTAGGCAACTTTACTCCTTTACATGACTTTATGGGACCAAATCCTTGTTTCTATCCATATTAAGAACACCAACTCATGCATGCATCAACAAGAACCCTCAAGATAACATTTTTATGACTTAATAACTCAACTAGGACCAAATATGAGGCTCAAAGGTCCTGGAGTAGCTTCTACTCATAAGAAAATGTTGAAATAGTGTCTAAGGCTGCAACTATATTTGGTAAGTACTTGACCCGATTGAGCATGGTCCTTTTGGGTTGCCTTCACCATAGCAACTTGACATGATGATTTATAATGAGAGAAGAAATATTATTAATATATTATGAGAATAATATAAGGAATAATAATATTGTTATTTGATTAATATAAGTCATAAATTAATTAGGATTTAATTTGGTGACTTAAAGAGATTAATTGAATAAAGGGGCATAAACTGTCAATTGTATGATAGTTGTATTTTGAGCAGTGATTCCTTGGGGATAAGGGGTGGAAGGATTTTAGGGTTTGGATAAGCCTATAAATCATCCAAAGGCTTATCAATAAGGAGATTGGATTTCTTAGAGCCTAAGTTATCCAATTAGGGTTTAAGGGTGAAACCCTATGAGGCTCACTAGTATAAATACACCATAGGGTTAAGAAAATCGACACACTTGGTATAGGAGAGACCCTGGCCGAATTTTCTCACCCTTCCATCTCTCTCAAATCATCCTCTTGCTAGTTGGTGTTTGTAAGCCATTAGAGGAGTGATATTTGTGACTCTAAGCTCCAAGGACAAGAAGATTCAAGCAAGTAATTCAGGGTATTCTTTTAGATCTGATTTCTTATATTATTATACTAGATCTATCAATCAAAGTCTTGGATGTATTGCATGTTCAATTAGAGAGACCTAGATCCAAGCATTAGGGTTTGTATGTGCACATAGGAATGTTCTTATGGCTCAAACCCATCAAAACAACCTTGGGACCAAAACATGGAAAACCCCGCCTAAAACTAGATCTTACCATAGAACCTTAAAGTTTGAAACTTTATACCCACAGAAGGTAGATCAAGATGCACAAAGCCTAGATCCACAAGCTTCAAGCAATCCCACATTTCTCCAAGCAGTTCCTTCTTCTTCAAAGAGCACCAAAATGCATGAAAACACACCAAAAGCTCAAGAACTACACTAATAAAGGCTAGGTTTTTGTTTCTAGGGTTTAAAGGGATAGAGGCTGAAGATAAGAGGGGTTGAACACAAGTTAACGAGCTTAAATAAGGTCCAAAACCCTAAATTAGGATTTAGGTCTTACTAGAGTACGCCCTGCGTACTTCTGGTATGCCTATCATACTCCATGAGGCTTTCGCGACCACCCTGGCTAGTACGCCCAGCGTACTAGGCTTAGCCTTTAAGCCTCCAAACTTCCAAAAGCCATAACTTCCTCGTTCTAAGTCTGTTTTTGACAATCCTTATATCCCCGAAAAGGTAATAAGAAGCTCCACACTTATATCAACTCTCCCTTGCCTTAAAACGTTTCGAACTTAAATATAAAATCCATAAAAGGTCTGAATTGACACTTTACCGATATACCCTTGAACTCTAAAACACAAACCGAACTCCCAGTTCATCAAATCTACATTTTCCACACCCAAAGGGGATTATTCTCTCTATCCCAAAGGCCCTAGGGCTTATAATAACCGATCTTCAGGTCGCGGCCCCAAATTAGGAAACGATTCAAAATAGGGTGTTTCAAGGTCTGCACGATATGTTTGTTTCAGAATAGGGTGAGAACCTATCCATGAATATACTTTTTCGCTAAGAAAGTCTCTACTGGGCGGGCTATTTCAATAATTACTTTTTTTTTCTAAGTACATAATTTACTTAAAAAAAATATAATGTAAGTATATAATACGCAAAAAAGTTACGTAACATTTTAAATATTTATGAATCGATTACTAATTAACAAACCATTTTCCATTTTTACATGTGTAACATCCTAAAAATACCGAGTAAAATTTTCATTTTAAATAAGTCAAAACCTTCATTAATTATCCCAAAAGACAATCAGAATAAAATTATTCTTAAAAAATCAGAGTAAAATCATATACAATCATTGCATATTAAATCTTCAGGGGATGCAGGGTGATCAAGTCGGACTCTTCCTTTTGAAACTGGAAGTACTTGAAACTATTTAAACCACAAAACTATAAGCACAAAATTTAGAGAGTTCCCCAAAATACCACATGTCATACTAATCAATGGGCCTAACCTTGGGGTATATTCCAACCCAACATACAATCATGGGCCCAACCCTATGGTATGTTTCAACCCGAACATGCAATAATAGGCCAAACCTTTGGGTTTATTTCAACCCACACATACAATACTAGGCCCAACCCTGGGGTGTATTTCAACCCAACAATACATGAAAGAGTCAGAAAGACAACTATCATTCTACATAACACAACCTAGTGGGATGGCATTAGTGTCTTCGACTCACAAGTACAGTGAAAAGACTTACATAAACTACTTAACATGTAACGCCCTCAGATTCGGGCTAGTCAATTTAGAGATAATGAGCGTCAAAAATGACTTTTTGATGAAAGATTATTTAGAGTAAATAATCTAAACCAAGTTATAGTATATGTCACAAGGGTTCCGTATATATAATGAACGCCGAAACTCGAGTTATAACGAAGAAGTTATGACCCGTCAAAGTTTTACGGCAAAATCAGCACGACACCGCGTAACGTAAAAAGTGAATTTTTGATAAATTAATTTTTAGCCTTAGCAATATAAACGAAAGTCATAGTATACGTAAAACCGAGAACATGCATAAAAAGAACGTCCAAATCTGACTGTGTGTGAGGAAGTTATGATTTTTCTAAGATTTAGCATATCAGTGCACAACCTGAAATTCGAATTTTAGATCGATCGACTTTTAGCCGACGTAACCTAAATCATAATTTAATATCTCATTAATAGGAGCTCAACTATAAAAAAACAGTCGAAAACCGAGTCCGTATGTAGTAGTTATGAATTTTACACGGTCGTTAACAATGTAATTTTATCATACTATTAAATTTAAAATCGGTCGATAATTAGCCGATGGAGTCAAAATAAGAGTTGTAGATCTTTTCAATATCTACGCGTGGATATAAAGAAGTTAAAAAACGGAGCTCTTATGCGAAAATTATGGAATTTAGAAATCGGAAGGGTGTTGCTACGAAAGGGGTGACGTGGCTTAATCTGGACCATTGCTTTCTCCCCACGCCTTGCAACCAGATGGTGACATGTGGCATCACTTCGACGAGTTGGAGGCCAAAACTCGACAAGTTTGACCTAATTCCAGCCTATAAATACAATGCGAGAGTGCCTTCATTTTTCACACCAAAACCCCTTCACTTCTCTCTCTAACTTCTCTCTAAGCCTCCTAAAACCCTGGTAACCTCAAGGTGCTAGAGGAAAGCCACAGAGCACCCGAAGGCTTCGAGAAAAAGAGCTTTTTTGCTCAAAAATTCTTCCCCGCAGAGCTCGATTCCTTTCTAAACCCACTGTAAGTTGAGTTATGGTTATCGTACTTTAAGTATAACTTATGTTTAAGTTCATTATCGTTATTATGAACCTATAAACTAGATTTATCAGTGATTCCAAGTAATTATATTGATTTATCTACTTACGGGGATGATGTCTAGGCTGTGATTTAGTAAGGTGTTTAAAGTGAGATTTCCAAACATTATACTTCGTATACCAAACATACCCTACCTCTAATATGATCCTACCTAATTGTTCCTTACTTGATAGATCATGAAAGTATACTTTGAGTTAATGATTAATCTATACTAACAATTAGTCTCAATAAAGATTAGACTAAAACTTAGCGATAATAATGTTAGGTTTCGTCGAAGGAAAATAGAATCGTTAGAAGCGAAGTGCTGCCCGAGTTTGGAATCATCACTTTAACAAGTGAGTGCATAGTACATTTCATGAACATGATTTTAATACAAGTATTAATTAAAGTATTAAATATCTGTTAAAGAGTTAAATATTTGTTAAAGAGTTTATGTGTGAGTGCATATTCCTTTTCATGAACATGATTTTAATACAAGTATTACTCAAAGTATTAAATATCTATTAAAGAGTTAAATATTTGTTAAAGAGGTTATGTGTGAGTGCATAATCCCTTTCATGAACATGATTTTAATACAAGTATTGATTAAAGTATTAAATATATGTTTATGTGTGAAATATTTGATATTGTTTGAAATACGTGTTAAGAGCATATATGATAATATATGTTGATTTAGGATACATAGTAAACCTAAATTAATTAAGAGGAATAATGGGTAGTATCTCCTTATGAGTACGAGTGAGATATACACAGAGGGTAGAACTTTAAGATCTATCATCGATCCGAGAGTATGGATTAGACATAGTCATTTGTCCTTTGTCCGAGAGTATGGAGAGGACATAGTTATTTATCATTAATCCGGGAGCATGGATTAGACATAGTCAATTATCCCTAGTCCGAGAGTATGGAATGTGCATAGTTATTGATCCAGGAGCATGGATAAGACATACCCGATCCAAGAGTACGGATTTGGTAAAGAGACTAATTTTAGATCCGAGAGTATGGATCGTGTTGTCGAGAGGATTGACGGGATGGGGTAAAATTGCTTATATGAGGTGAAATCGTATATATTGTGAGTTCTAATATATATATATATATATATATATATATATATATATATATATATATATATATATATATATAACATTGTTGGATTCAAATCCCTATGTACTCACCATGTTTTCCAACCTGACACACTCAGTTTATTTGTATCATAGGTGTCGATATGAAGCTACATTACACTGAGAGATTAAAAGAGACGTAGATCACTAGTGTAAATGAGTGTAAGGTCTGTTTATGCTTATGTTTCTATATTGACGATGACATCCCGATGTTTTAAAATGACTAAAATACATTTCTTCGTAAATGATTTGATAATGTATTTATCATGTTTTTCTGGGAATAAATTCTGCAACATTTTTCTTTAAAAGGATATTTTGATTTTCAAATAAATAATAAACAAATCAGTCTTTTCTGGCCGTGAAATTGGGGATGTCACACAACAGAAGCTTAACAACTACCTTACAATAGAACAAACAATCCGAGCTACCTAGATCCAAATCGAGACCAGTCCTTAGTCAAATACTCAGTTCTATCCATGTTTGACCAAAAGTCAAACAGGTCAAAAGTCAACGGTCAAAGTCCACAAGTTCAACGGTCAAAATCAATGTCAACGTCACGTCGTGAGGATGCAAGGACAAAACAATCATGATTCTGGGCACCGTCACAGCGTGACATATCCTGAGTCATGTTGTGACTTTTGGCCAGAAAGCTAAATCTTCATTAAGTGTTTAATATCTTTAGACCAAAACATCAGATGTAGATCCTAAATAGCTTCATAGTGGATAAAGTTTCCAACTTTATCTATTAGTATGGTCCAAACAACCAAGATATAGTCTTTAAGTCTCAAAAGGGATAATAATGCATCTTTCTCGACTTAATCCATTAAGTCCAAGTCTCCAACCTTTAGATTTGAATCAACATGATGTTTAGATGGATAAAGCTTCCAACTTTATCCATCATAATGTCTCAAACTTTCAAGATCTAAACTTTAATACACTAAAATGACCTAAATAACCAATATAAATTGCATGACTAAAAGGGAAGGCAAAAGATCATAACTTTCCTAGTCCATGAGGTCCAAAAAGCATCCCAAACTGATCAAATTTCATTCGTGAGAACGGGTTTTCACCAAATTTCATTCCAACTTTAAATAATCATAACTTCTTCGTTTCAACTCTATTTTTGGTGATCTTTATATGGACGGAAAGGTATTGACGAGCCCTATAACCGTATCTAATTAATTTTTACTTAATACACGTCGAACTAAAACCATAATCCATGCAAGAAGCACAAAATATTACTTTACTATTTTACCCTTTTTCTTCCAAGCATAAATCAAAGGTTTTAATCACTTAACCAATATTATCATCATCCAATAAAGTGTAAACCCCATTCCCTTGAGGCTTTAAGCCTTTAATCAAT